TGGTTTATAAAATTAAAATTACTTTATATCGACTTACATTATTGGTTCGTTTGTATTTTTAGAACGTTTCTTATTCATAATTAAATAATATAGTCAGCACAACAACGTCATTTCTTTGGAAACATTATCTTATTATAATTATATGGTTGCATTCTTATCTTTAAAAAAGGGAATTGGGTAAAAACTATAAAAATTGTAAAAAAAAACTAAAACAATAAGATGGGTCTTTTTAATGGTTTCCCGAAATTATTTCACTTGGTTTGATCCAAAATGTACCATATAACCTTTTCGAGCAAATAATGTTGTTAGACCGACTCTATTGTGATAACAAAAAGTACTTTAACAATTATACTTTTTTTCTGTTATAAATTAAAAACAATGATATTATAACATAAAATATAATAAGACTTACCTCTGTTATTAACAGTATTGCATATTATATATTTTATTGTAAATTATTTAAAATACAATCGAAGACAACGTGGCCGAGTGGTCCAAGGCGTATGACTCGAAATCATTTCTCATTTGAGGCGTAGGTTCAAATCCTGCCGTTGTCGTTTTTATTGTCATTATCCAAATATCAATAACAAAAGACATTTTGAATTAATAAAAAGTGCATTTGCCTGGACTCGAACCCGGATCTCCACCTTGGAAGGGTGGAATTCTGCCCTTAGACCACAAATGCTTCTTAAAACTTATTGTTTTGTTTTTATACAATTGTGTATCGAACAAATATCGAGAGTTTTTTATATTTATCAAAAATAAATAAAGTGATTCAAAAATATGTTAATTTTTAAGTAAAACCTGTGATTTAGATAAAATATAAATAAAAAAGAAAATATAATGAAATAAAAATAAAATTATAAATTTGAATTTAAAGTGCTTTTGTTTCATTTCTTGTATTTTTTAAGTCTTTTATCGGAATAAATAGTAAAGGGCAGTTATTGATCACAACTTTCACGCTTGTATTGATTCCAATCACACTATTTAACATTTTACAAGATTGTAGGTGAATTGTTTTTATATTATCGCCTAAAACTATTTCTTCTAATAAATCACATGATTTCACAACAAGCTTTTCGACTTTCTTATCACAGACTATCTTCTTACACTTTGCCCAACTTACACTCGTTTTTGTATTTAATGCTTTGAACAAATTATTTTTGAATCTATTCTCATTGTATTTTCTTTCTATTTTTAAACTTTTTGAGCATGTTATTGTATCAAAATCAACACCTTTTAAACAGGCAAATTCAGTAATATCATTGAGCTTCAATTTATCAGCGCAGTACTTTGTTTCCGTCTCAATGTAAAGGTTTTTAGCATTTATATTCGACAAATCGACTTCTTTATTTCTTTTTGAAATGTTAATAATAACATTTTCAACGCCACATTTCTGGAAGTTGTAAACTGGGTTAGATATTGAATCAGAAAGTAAACATCCACATACTTGAACATCACCATAGACTTCTACTTGTGGCATTTTTGATATTTCAGATATGATCATTGCTGTTGTGTTTTTAGATGCATTTTTGTTAATTGTTTCAATATATTTTTCTCCTTTGTATACAACATTGTATTTCGTCGAAACAACTGAATCAACTTTTCCACAAATAATACGAGGCCTTCTTCCCGGATCAATAAAAACTCTTTTCGCTTTTTTGATATAAATTTCATTGATGGTATTATCTTCAGTTCTTATATAAACATCACAATTGGGGAATGAAGGAATGTTATCTGCATTAAAAAATGATACACTAATGAGTTCATCATCATAAAAAGTCGCGTTTGATAACACATTTCTGGAATATAACACTTCACTATTATGTACACTTAAATGTTTAAGATTTTCACAGATTTTGTGTTTGAGGTGATTTATTAAAAAGTTGAATTGTGAAAGTTGTGAATTTTGAATAACAACTTTGCCACTCAAAGGAATTGAAAATATGGAATTTGTTAATTTAGAAATGTAAGATATCCGACATGCATACGTTTTGAATTTTTTGTTTGTTGCATTAACAATCATTTTGTTGAGAGAAAAAAGATACAGATTTCCAAATTCACAATTCGATAGTACCAAATATTCACTGTTATTTATATTTAAATTTGTAACACTACATCTTGAAAGTGAAAAATGCTTTGAATCGATAATTGCTATATGAAAACTTTTGTGATTTGAGTGGGTTTCAAGTGTAATGTAACTTGTCAGACTAAAATATAACGAATTGATATATCCCAAATTCACAATTGAAATATTGGAACTTCGTGTACAACATACAAAGTCGACTGCACATATTGAAACATCAAGTTGTTTGCAATTAACAATTCGAAGTTGTGTCGAAAATACATTTGAAATTTTTTGATTGGAAATTCCGTACAGTGTCAACTTTGTCATTTGGTGTGTCAAAAATACAATTTCTGTCACTTTGTTGTCGATTAAAATAAGAGGAGCAAACAAAGGCACTTGCCTACAATAAGAAAAATTCATTTCTTCGTATTTTGGGGTTGTTCTTTCATCCAAATTTTCACTTTCTCTTTGTTCTGTTGGTTGTGTAATTTGTTGTTTTGAACTCAAAATTTCTTGGGAATCCAATTCATCGACATCCTCGATATCAAACAAATAATTTTGGTTATCTAAAGTGTCACCACCTTCATCGTTTTGATTAAAAAATTCATCCGGGTTTATTTTATACGTTTTCATATGTTCAACCCACTTCTCATAGTTATTATTATTCGAACAAGGTATATGAGGATACTTTTCATCCACTTTAAAATCAAGAAAATCCCGCCAATTTGCAGTGGTTAAACAGATCTCGCCAATATACCTTGAATTGTCAAGAACTGCACAATTGTCGATGATATCAATTTCACTGACAATAACGTTTACTTGTTGTTTCCGTAGTGCTATTATCACATTTTCAAATTCTTCTTCGAGAATTTCGTATGCCGGTGTTTTCTCAACAAAGACAATCACTTCAATATTACCCATTTTGTTCCCTTTTCGCTCTTTAATTTTCTTACAAACGATCTCAAGTAAAGACGGACGAGTGCAATTCCAAAATGTCATTTTCTTTATTTTTTGAAGTGAAAACAATTGGTTTACAATTGTTTCGTCACAAATCCATCCATTCATTTGGACATTTTTAATACCCTGATATTCTTCGGTTGGTATTAAACCCGGGTGTTTTGTTATTATAAAGACATTTTCAATTTTGGAACGCGCGATTTTAACAATTGGTGAGTGATAATGCGGACATCTTACTGTCTTGTGATAATTATCATTTTTGTTTTGTGGAGATCTTACAAGATGAATTTTCGAGACTTTTTCGATGGTACTATTATTTTCGTTTAACATATAGTCATAACACTGAAGGGTTTCAATCTTTGGAAATGCTTTGGAAATAAAATTAAATATTGAGTGATAAAGTGTGTTACGTTGATATTCAAAGAATGAAAACGTCTCAATGGATACATCAATGAAGGGGTTTATAAATAGACCATGAAAACATGACCCACACTTTTTGTTGATTTGTTCAAAAGATTTTAGTGAGTCGATGGTGTTGATGTAGAGTGTAATATTCAATAGGTAAACATATTCCAACTTTTTCATGTTTTAATAATATTATTAGTTTGAATTTTAATTAAAAAATATTGTGAATTTTTTTGTTGTTTTTTTCAATTATACAGGGGTGAAAATGAAGGTATTAATTTGAAAGCGAATATATTAATTTAGGGTTCATTTTCTTTTAATCTATTGGCCAAAAACGAACTAACATGTAAATCATTAAATTGAAGCCATTTAATGCGACATAACTACAACAACAAACAAGAAAAATTGGACAAAAACCACTATTTCCAACACAGTCACGATTTTTGGAAAAGGAAAATATAGTTAATATAATAGTTACAAAATTATAAAATTTATTATAATTTTCAACTCAAGAAACTATAACAATATTAATTATTTACTATACATTATATTATTAATGTTTATAATAAATTTATCATTATTTTGTTATTATTCAAACAACACTCGACATAAAAATGATTTACGATACTTTGGGTTGTGTTTCACGGCCTTCACGACCGGCCTGCGTATGAAAAACACAAACCAAAATGTAGTAATGAGCTGCATTAACCAATCTGAACGTCAATATAACATTTCAAATAACTGCGTTGATAATAAATAAATAAACAAACCATAAAGCTAATACTCACCCACATGTTTAAACACACTTAAAATATTTATCAAGTTGTGAACAGGTTGTGTTTTGTCTTAAACCCTGAAAATACAATTGAATAATAACAAATTTACTATGAAACACCGTCAACTATTTTTAATGGTTTAATTATAACAATTCTTACTATTGATTCATTTTTTTAACTTTAACTGATTATTAAAAACACACAAATCCATGATGAATTTTTATATAACCATTGATATAATTAAAATAGTATTAAAATATTAATATGTTGGAATCGTTACAAAACATAATTATTGATTCTTTTCATTTTGTTTGCATTGTTTTTCATTGTCAAATTCAAATCAAAGGGATTGGCTTAATTTACGAATCATAAAACCTAGAAAAATGTCAAATTTGGCATCAAAAACCCTAAATTAATACATTCGCTTTCAAATTTATACCTTCAGTTTCACCCCTGTAGCATGAATTTTTCCAAGCATGTTCAGACATTTTGAACAAATCTTGGAGCATATTGGCAAAATAATCCATTTTTTTACCACAATAGTTCAATTTCTGTAAATTTTTAATTTAATCTTAAAAATTCAAAGTTTGCCAGCTATGGTTTGGATTTTTATTATAAAAAATAGTTTCTGTTAAAATAGTAATCATTCTTTTTATTATTGGAATTTTCATCCATTAAAACAGCCTGAAATAATAGTATTAAAACGTCTATTATAAGTTTTTATTATAAAAAAATACGAAAATTGGAAATTATTTGTATTGATCATTTCCGTTGATTTTTGTTTTTCAATATTTTTTACAATAAAACCCCAAAAACTATAATATGCATATAATTTAAAAAGTTATAAACCTCTTAATTATTCGATAAATTCTAACTTAAAATTCAAATGAAAAAAAATGACTGGGCATTCCCATTAACCATGGAATGTAGAAAAGACTTATCAATAAATCTTTAATTGAACTTTTCTTTTGGAACTCAAGCCACACTCTTTAGTATTAATGAAGTTATTCCAAAACCAACTTTTGTTGAAACATAACCATAAATCACAAATGAAACTAAACATTTTGAAATTATAAATGAAAATATTCCCACATTAATCAAAAATACATTTTAGCATCAAAACAAAATGATCAACACTTTGTTGTGAACAGTGCCAGGATGAAAGAAACAATTAAAATATATTACAAAGAAGATGATATTCACAAAGTATTGTTTCCTAGACAAATTGTTTCATCTACTCAATTGAATCTCAAAACAAACGAATATTATAATGAAAAAAACGTATACACAAATATACATTTATTATTTTGATTGTAAAAACTATAATAGAACCGCCAAACAATTTAAATTGCCTCCTTCAACAATTTTTAATATCATTGAATGGGTTAACAATAGAGTGTCGCTGACTGGTAACAAAAGAAAAAGGAAATCGGGGTATAATTACAAATTTGATTATAATACAATAACAATGATACTCGAAGAAATAAGTGCGAATAAACTTAAAATCTTAAAATTGATAACAAAAACACGTAAACAAATAGAGATGAATGGATGCAATAGCTTGATATGAATATTATTTAATGAAAGATGAACATGATATCAAATAGATGTTAAAACAGAAAAAAGTCAGTTTAAGTGTTGTACATAGAATATTAAAAAGACTTGGAGTGACACCAAAACTAATCAAAAAAGAACAATTTAATCGAAACATCAAAGTTTGTATCGAATGAAGGAATTGTATGCTGATCACATTGGACGTTTGATTTATTTACAATTCGTTTATTTTTAACTTTAACCACACAAGAAAGTAGGGTATTCGTTTAGAGGTTCATATTGTACTATTGAATTTAAAAACATAAGAGAGCTGAATTTGACCACGTTTGCTATGATGATATGTAAAAATAGTATTTCGTATTAGTAGTAAAAGCTCCAATGTTATTTTCATCAAAAGTGTCACAATTAATACAATTGTATGGTTTAGTTTTAATACACTTTGTTATAAATAAAGCATCAATCTGCAAAAGAATAATATGTTTTCGGTGTGTCCAGAGTATAGAATACAGTCAATATTCGATATAAGAGGTATTAGATATAAGGATTTATTTTATATAAGGGAGAAAAAATAGAAGAAGCCCTT